AAGCTTTGGATCTAGATTTCTCTATTGTACATGCAAATCATCCAAAGCTTATAAACCCTAATTCTAGCATATCTATAATTAAAGAAGTTTAGATGATTGCCTTTCAATTGTTGCAAGAATCTTCAAGCTTTGAGAGCCTAGTATCACAAATGAAATACCTCTAATCGATCACAAACAACAATGCAAGAAGGATGATCTTGGAGAGAGGATATGAAGGCTCAAAAATCGGCTCTAAGGACTCTAGGATTGAAGGGTAGCCAATTTTGGATGCCCTAGGGTTCCTTTTATAGGTGTGCTGCTAGGGTTTCAGTCAAAACCCTAATTGGATAGCTTAGGCCATAAGCAGTCCAATGGAACCTTCTGGAATAAGGCCTTGGACAATTTCAAGGTGGGCTTCCACCCTAATTTCGTCCACCCCTTTATCCATAGAATCCACAACCCAAAACTCAATTATCTTATAATTGCAATTCCAGTCCCCTAAGTTCAATTAATATCTTTTGATCACAAAATTAATTCTTAATTAACTCTTGACAAATATTAATTAACTAATATGATTTCTCTTTTAATATATTATTCTTATAATATATTAATAAACCATAATATCCTCTCTCTCTCTCTCCACTAATCATCCAGTCAAGTTGCTTTGGTGAAGGCAACCCAAAAGGACCATGCTACTATCGAGTCAAGTACATACCAAATATAGTTATGGGCTTAGACACCTAATCCAACAGAAAGTAGACACGAAAATCATACCAAGCACAAGCAAGCTTCAAGGCAAAACAGAGGCTTAAGCTAGTACACGGGGACCTTTTTGGTCCTATTTCACCACCCACACCTGCTGGTAACCGATATTTTATGTTGTTAGTTGATGATTTTATTCGAGTAATGTGGGTATATATGATGAATACTAAGGATGAAGCCTTCAATGTTTTCAAAAAGTTTCGGATATCTATTGAAGCAGAAAAAGCTTAAAAGCTAAAGACTTTTCGAACAGATCGTGGTGGTGAATTTCTGTCAAAACAATTCACCATGTATTGTGAAGAAACCGGTCTAAACTAACACTACACAACACCATATTCTCCACAGCAAAACAGAGTGGTGGAGAAATGAAATCGCATTGTTGTAGAGATGGCAAGAAGTATACTCAAGAGTATGCATGTACCAGAAACATTATATGGAGAGGCTATACATCATGTTGATTATGTTGTTAATCGGGTGACCATAAAAGCCATAAAAGATGCAACACATTATGAAATGTGGACTGGAAAAAAGCCACACGTTGATTACTTAAGAGTTTTTGGATGTATTTGCTCATGCAAGAGCAACAGGAAGCCATCAGAAACTTGATGATCCAAGAAAATGTTTGGTGCTCCTAGGATGCGAGACAGGAACGAAAGCATATCGATTATTTGATCCAGACACAGGGAAAATATGCATCAGTAGGGATGTATGTTTTGAAGAAGATAAAACTTGGTCATAGGAAAAGTTAACTTTGTTAAAAAAAATACACCAGGAGCAACTTTTACAATTGAAGGCTACTCTCCAGAAGATAACTATGAAGATGTGAGCAACCAGGAACATGAAATCTGGATGCAAAGTCCTACACCAGAACAAACCCAACAGACAAGTGCACAAATCTCTACACCTACACCCTTGAGTTCGACCAGTTCATATACTTCTGCACGTATTGGATTAAACTCTACATGTGGAGGAGCCCCAAAACGGTATCGTTTATTGGACGATATTTATGTTGAGTGTAATGAAATTTTATTCATGCATGATAGTGAGGAGCCTTTGTCGCACTCCATGGCTAGTGAGAATGTTGATTGGTTAAATGCAATGAGAAGTGAACTAGAAGCCATTGAAAGAAATAAAACTTGGAACCTGGTTGAATCCCACCAGGTCGAAAACCCATTGGTCTCAAGTGGGTTTACAAAATGAAAAAGGATCCAGATGGAAAAGTATTGAAGCACAAGCGAGGTTGGTAGCAAAGGGCTATGTTTAGAAACCCATAATAGACTTTGATGAAGTCTTCGCACTTGTTTCCCGACTTGAAAACGGTACGCATTTTGCTTGCTCTTGCAGGTAAAAAAGGATGGACTGTGTACCACCTTGATGTAAAATCTGCATTTCTAAATGGAGATTTGGAAGAAGTTTATGTAACTCAACCGAAGGGGTTGTGAATCATAATGAACCAGGAAAAGTGTATAGGTTGTCAAAAGGTTTGTATGGGCTTCGTCAAGCTCCTAGAGCTTGGAACTCTCGTCTGGATAAATGTCTGAAAAATTTGGGATTTATGAGATGCCCACAAGAATATGCACATTACACAAGAAAAAGGAATGATAAGCTCTTAATAGTTGGGGTGTACGTTGATGATATAATTGTTACAGGAAATTGTAGTAACGAGGTGAAGCTCTTCAAAGAACAAATGCAACATGAGTTTGAATTGAGTGACCTTGGTTCATTGTCATACTACCTAGGTATTGAAGTAGGTCAACAAGAGGATGGTACTACTCTAAAGCAAACAGCTTATGCGAAAAATATCGTGGAGAAGGCAAGCATGGCTGAGTGCAACTCATGTAAATACCCAATGGAACCCAAGTTAGAGCTAACAAAAGATGAAGAGGGAGACCTGGTAAATCCCACGGAGTATAGAAGCATCATTGGAGGTCTAAGATATCTCACACACACTCGACCTGACATCTCTTATGCCGTCGGGATTGTTAGTCGATTCACGGAGAGACCTACAGTTAAGCATCTACAAGCAGTGAAATATATTCTGAGATATATCAAAGGAACCATTGACTATGTCTTAATGTACACCAGGGGGAGTGGAGAAGACATTGTAACCGGGTACACTGATAGTGATCTTGCAAGGGACGTAAATGACAGACACAGTACATCAGGAATGACATTTTATCTCAATGAAAATCTGATTACTTGGGCGTCGAAAAAATAGAGAAATGTAGCTATTTCATCATGTGAAGCAGGATTCATGGCGGTGACAAGTGCAACGTGCCAAGGGATTTGGATGCGTCGGTTACTTGGTGAGTTAACAGGAAAGAAAATTAATCTAGTCGTGCTGCATGTTGACAACAAATCAGCCATAGATCTGATAAAAAAACCCCGTGTTTCATGGGAGAAGTAAGCACATAGAGACAAGGTTTCATTTCATACGTGAGTGTGTCGAGAATGGAGATATAAAAGTCACGCATGTGAGCAACAAGGAACAAAAGGCAGTGATATTCTCACAAAATCCATGGTAAGCAAGAAGTTTGAAGAAATGCGAAACTTGTTAGGAGTTAAGCAGATAAAAATTATGGATTAATGGGGAAAATATTATAATAATTCATAATATTTGAGAGAGAGAGAGAGAGAGAGAGAGAGAGAGAGAGAGAGAGAGAGAGAGAGAGAGAGAGAGAGAGAGAGAGATGGTGCAATCACGTGAGATTTGTCCATCACATTTACTCTAGCTACTTCTTTGTTGTTTTAATCAAGGCTATCAAAGTCAATTTCCTTTTAATGTTTCTTTAATGTTGTAGTTGAAAAAGTCCAGAAGTAGTTGTCTAGTTTTAAATGTTTTGTTCTTTTTGTATTAGATTGAATGAAAAAGTGTAATAGTAACTTTGTCTCAATTGTTGGCAATTGTACTCTCTTTTTTTTTCTTGCACATACACACGAAAGACAAAGCTCTCCATCTCCCTTTTCAGTAAAAGATAAGTGATTGATAAGGCAATAAACCAACAAACGAGTTGAAATTTTTGAACCTGAAAATAAACGTGGGTTGATCTATTCATTTTTTTCAACCCAACATGCTAAATAAATGGGTTAAACGATTATTAACTCATTTAAAATTTAAAATATAAAAAGAAAAAGAGTATACGTAGCTAAACAAGTTACCAAGTCAAATATTTGTTTGAAGTGAATTTTAGTTTGTCCTTTCATTCATAGATCAACTGTTTTTATGAAAGCTGATTGTTTTTATCAACTTTCAAAGAAGCTGTTAATTTAGGCCTTGTTTTGGAAATTAAAGGTCAACTGTTTCCATGAATAGCATTCATCAGTACAGATCTTCAACCTTTATTTTCTTCATCAATTTTTATTTTTGTTAGAATTTAGCCCAAACATTTATGATACAATGTAGTCAAGCTACAATAAAACGAGAATCTTACAAAAGCAATGATAGTAAGTTACAATTTTATACAAAAAATAAAACCTTTTTCTATGAACTACAAAGAATTGCAATAGGTTTCTGTTTTAGCCAATATATCATATAAACACAATACAGAGATTCACATTTGACGAATTCAAGTGAATCTATTCTAAAACATCATAAAAATGAACATAATATCGATATCAACAATGTTTTAAGAAATTAGCCCTTTTAATTTCATGAAATTAGCATGTTGCATAAACGGGTAATAGTGATCCAAGTTTATAAATCTCTTTTGCCACAAAGGAGGAACTTGTCAACTTCTAACCACAGTTATTTATTTATTTATTTATTTATTTTTAAATGATCTACTTAAATCAGTATAACCCATAAATATACTCCTATGAGAATGTCCAACAACATGGCAAATTAGCTTTATTCTTGCATCGTTATAAGCATACTCAAATCATCTTTCTTTTCTTTTTATTCCCCTAGATTTGTTTGCCATGGGGTGATATTGATTAAATTGCCAAGTATGATCATATGTTTAACGAAAACTTAAATCCATTTCAGCATCTCTACTACCTACTACGCAAATAAAATAAAATAAAACTTTTAGCATTCTTTAATTTACCATTTTCACGTACCTAGCTCTCACCAAAAATTAAGCACAAACTACAATGAGTAGCCGAGTTGGTACAAACTAAAAATGAGCCAAGTATATTGCAGAAAAAAAAATCCAAAATACTTAGCAGTTTTATCAAAAGAAAAGAAAGATAATTCAGATATACTTACAATTGTGAACGTATAAAGCTAAATTACGATGTAGTTGAACATTGTTATAGAATTATGGCAAGGGATCCAAGTAGAATATTTTTGCCTTTGTTGAGGCTCGAGGGAGCTGCATAACATCCTTTGCAATGTCAAGTATTTTTTTAGCATTAAGAGCTCTACTTGGTGTAATGGTAAACTTCTCGAGACAAGGGGAATGAGTAAGAAGAAGCTTTATAAAAAGCATTTCCGGTTTTGATCCTTTTAGAGATGCTATCTCCACAGTTTTCAATCCATTCAATGTACAGTCCAAACTGTTTAGGGTTTCAAAATGATTTGAAGCTGGTCCCACATCCACTCGAGGCTCCTGAATTAACATAAAAATGCAACCGCATTTTAATTAGCTGCCAACTCTTGTATCATATAAGCAAAATAATTACATAATTTTAGCACTCATTACATTATCATCTGTATGTAAAATCATATGCAAGCTTTCCAGATTCGGCGAGTTTCGAAGCAAACAAAGAGCAGCATGAAGTTGATCCAAATCACCAAGTTGAAAATGGTACAACCACAGATGCTTTAAACTAGCTACTAATTGCACGTGGAAGCAATTTATGAATCTTTTTTGTGTTGAGTGTGAATCCACGTCAAAGTGGTCCACAGAAAAGTTAGTCAAAAAAGAAAAAGGAATGGTCACCCGGTTCTTAAGGACCATGTTTTGTGGCTTTCCTTTTCTCCATTCAATCCTATATAAGATTGTATTGTATCTGTAGTTTCATAACACACAAAAAAGAAGAAGAAATAAAAACTCCTAGTTACCCTCGTGTGGACGTAGGTCAGAAATAGACTGAACCACCTTAAATCCTTGTGTTCTTGTTTTTCTATAATTCGTGAGCTGAGAGTGAGAGTTTCGTGTTCGTGTCTCGATCCTAACAAGTGGTATCAGAGCGTTGGTTTAGCTCCAGAAGGTGATTTTCAGTTTTTTGGTCGAAATTTGTTTTCGTCAAAAACGATTTTGGTGTATACCGTTGGAAAGGTCTCGTTACGAAGATTCCGAAAATATTTTTTTCTGAATTTTTCGACCACCGGAAGACGTCCAAATCGCCGGTCAAAGGTTCGCCGGAATAGTGACCGGGAAAACAGTTCGCCGGAGAAGACGACACTGTAGCGCCGGAGCATTGCCGGAGAAGACGACACTGTACGCCGGAGCATTGCCGGAGAAGACGACACTGTACGCCGGAGCCTTGCCGGAGAAGACGACACTGTAGCGTCACTGTAGCAGAATTTGAAAAACTCAGCTTTGGTCCCTGAAGTTTCAGAAAATTGCAAAGACCGGTCCTGAAGTTCCAGAAAATTACAAGACAGGTCCCTGAAGTTTCAAAAAATTGCAAGACAGGTCCCTTTTCTTTCAGAAAATTGCAAAAATGGCAGAAGATGGTAAAATCAAAATTAACAAGTTTGATGGAACCGATTATGGATTTTGGAAGATGCAAATTGAAGATATGTTGTATCAGAAAAGTTTGCATTTGCCTATGTTGGGCGAACAACCGGATGACATGTATGATGAAGAATGGAAGTTGTTGGATCGACAAGCCTTGGGTGTAGTTAGGCTTTCATTGGCAAAGAGTGTTGCGTATAACATTGTTAATGAAACAACTACTTATGGAGTATTTAAGGCTTTGTCCAACATGTACGAGAAGCCGTCCGCTTCCAACAAAGTGTTCCTCATCAAACAATTGGTTAACACCAAAATGAAGGAAGGCATGTCAGTTACCGCTCACATAAACGAGTTTAACTCGATTATCTCTCGTTTAGCCTCAGTTGCAATAAAGTTTGAAGATGAAGTACAAGCGCTCCTCCTTTTATCATCTTTGCCCGATAGTTGGTCAGGCACCGTCACAGCTGTTAGTAGTGCATCCGGCACTATTAAACTCACTTTCGAGAGTATTCGTGACTTGATTGTAAATGAAGATATCAGACGGAGAAGCAATGGTGAGACTTCTAGTTCTAGTTCTAGTTCTTTATTGCATACAGAAAGTAGAGGAAGAAGAAACGAAAGAGGACGTAGTCGAGGCAGATCAAAGTCTAGAAAAAGGGGGCAGTCCAAGAACCGAAAAGATATTGAATGTTGGAATTGCAAAGAAAAAGGTCACTTTAGAAACCAATGTCCAAAACCACAAGCTGAAAAGAAAGAAGTACACAATGTATCCTCTGAAGAATCGGGAGATTTTCTCATATGTTGTGTTGAGAGCTCAATGGAATCCTGGATTATGGATTCGGGTGCTTCTTTCCATGCTGTCTCACGCCCAGATATGGTCAAGAACCTACAAACAGGTGACTTTGGCAAAGTTAGTTTGGCCGATGATCAAGTGCTTGATATTACGGGTATAGGAGACGTAGATTTGAAGACCTCCATGGGAACCACCTGGACATTGAAAGATGTCAGGGTTATCCCAAACTTAAGGAGAAAGTTGATTTCAGTTGGTAAGTTGGATGATGAAGGACTTGATGTTCACTTTGGGGGTGGACAATGGAAAGTGATCAAAGGCAACTTGGTGATTGCCAAAGGAAAGAAGAAAGGCACTCTATACATGGTAGAGATACCTGGTGATGGTGTTCATGCAGTAACCACCAATCCGAGTCCATCTAATTTATGGCACCAACGACTCGGACACATGAGCGATAAGGGATTGAAGATGTTGGCTCAGAAAGGAAAGTTTCCAGACTTGAAGAAAGTCGAAACTGAATTTTGTGAATCTTGTGTTCTCGGGAAACAAAAGCGGGTTACTTTTGTAAAAACGGGGAAGACACCGAAAGCTCAGAAGTTGGAGCTTGTTCACTCGGATGTATTTGGACCAACACCAGTTTCATCTCTAGGAGGCAAAAACTACTATGTAACCTTTATCGATGATTCAACACGCAAGGTATGGGTCTATTTTCTTAAAAATAAATCTGATGTATTTGATACTTTTAAGATATGGAAATCTGCTGTTGAAAATGAAACTGATTTGAAGGTAAAATGCCTGAAGTCGGATAATGGTGGTGAATACATAAGCAAGGAGTTTGTTGACTATTGTGCCAAGCAAGGCATAAAGATGATCAAGACGGTCCCAGGAACCCCTCAGCAGAATGGTGTAGCTGAAAGAATGAATAGAACTCTGAATGAAAGGGCTAGAAGCATGAGGTTGAATTCTGGTTTACCTAAGAAATTTTGGGCTGATGCAGTTAATACTGCAGCCTACTTGATCAACCGTTCACCGTGTGTTCCCTTGGATTTTAAATTACCAGAAGAAATGTGGCAAGGGAAGGAAGTAAGTCTCAAACACCTGAAAGTCTTTGGTTGTACTGCTTACAGTTTGTTAAAAGATGGTGATAGGGATAAACTTGATTCAAAGACTAAGAAGTGTACATTCATTGGTTATGGGTCGGATGAAATGGGTTACAGGCTTTGGGATAGTGAGAGCAGAAAGATAATCCGAAGCAAGAATGTCACCTTTAACGAAGCCGAGTTATACAAAGACAGAAACAACAAAAGTCCAGAAGATCAGAAGGAGTATGTTGAGTTTGAAGGTGTTGAAAAGAAGAAAGAAGCTGCAGTCGAAATCCCTGAATCTGGGGATGATTCAACTGACAGTGGGAGCTCAGGGGATAATTCCAGTAATGATTCTGAAGATGAAGAAACCAGTCCTCCAACTCCAGAGTCCCCAGTCACACCTCAAGTTCAACTAAGAAGATCTTCCAGAGTCACAAGACTACCAAACAAATACTCACCATCTGTCAACTACATTCTTTTGACAGAAAACGGTGAACCCCAATGTTACTCTGAAGCTATAGGGTTGAAAGATTCATTGCAGTGGGAGCTAGCAATGAAAGATGAAATGAAGTCGCTTGAGAAGAACAACACATGGCACTTAACAAAGCTTCCAGTTGGGAAGAAGGCTCTTCAGAATAAATGGGTTTTCAGGGTCAAGGATGAACATGATGGTACCAAACGGTACAAAGCAAGATTAGTAGTCAAGGGCTTTCAACAGAAAGAAGGAATTGATTTCAATGAAATATTCTCTCCAGTAGTGAAGATGACCACTATCAGACTTGTTCTCAGTATTGTAGCAGCAGAAAGTTTGCATCTAGAGCAACTAGATGTCAAGACAGCTTTTCTACACGGTGACCTAGATGAAGACATTTACATGACACAACCAGAGGGTTTTCAGGATAAAGGCAAAGGAAACTTGGTGTGTAAATTGAAGAAGAGTTTGTATGGTCTGAAACAAGCACCCAGACAATGGTATTTGAAGTTCGATAACTTCATGAGAAAAGTTGGTTACAAGAGATGTGACAATGATCATTGTTGTTACATCAAGAAGTTTAAGGGTTCTTATATCATTCTACTACTCTATGTAGATGATATGTTGATTGCCGGTTCAGACATGTCAGAGATCAAGAAGTTGAAGAAACAGATGTCTGAAGAGTTCGAAATGAAAGACTTGGGAGCTGCATAGCAAATACTCGGGATGAGTATATTTAGAAACAAAGATGGTTCTTTAACACTATCTCAAGAAAAGTACCTTGAGAAAGTATTAGAGAAATTCAGCCTTAAAGATGCCAAGATCAGAAGCACACCTTTGGGAAGTCACTTTAAGCTTTCTAAAGCTCAGTCACCCAGATCAGATGAAGACAAGAAAGAAATGGCTAAAGTTCCTTATGCATCCGCAGTTGGTAGCCTCATGTATGCAATGGTATGCACGAGACCAGATATAGCTCATGCAGTGGGAGTTGTTAGTAGATTCATGTCCAATCCGGGAAGAGAACATTGGGAAGCAGTTAAATGGTTGTTGAGATACTTGAAAGGGACTTCAAAGACGGCATTAAATTTTAAGGGAAAAGACGTAGTTCTGAATGGTTATGCAGATGCAGATCTTGGTGGTTGTAAAGATTCATACAAAAGCACCACAGGGTATGTCTTTACAGTGGGCGGCACTGCAGTAAGTTGGATGTCCAAACTACAGAAAAGTGTTGCCCTTTCAACCACAGAAGCAGAGTATATGGCAGTTGCTGAAGCAAGCAAAGAGCTTATATGGTTGAAGAATTTTCTCAACGAACTTGGCAAAGAACAAGATGATTGTGCATTATTTTGTGACAATCAAAGTGCAATTCATCTTGCAAAGAATCCCGTCTTCCATTCGAAGACAAAGCACATACATCTGAGATATCACTTCATCAGAGAAAGAATTAATGATGGCACTCTGAAGTTGAATAAGATCAAAGGAACTGAAAATCCAGCTGATATGTTGACTAAGGTTGTCACCTTAGAGAAGTTGAAGCTTTGCATAGCTTCAACTGGCCTTCAGGATAATTGAAGAGAAGGCCGGGTAACTAGGATGGAGTCAAGATCAAAAGTGTTTTACAGAAATACAGATGCACAGTTGAAGCACAGGTGAAGATTGTTCCGTGGCTTCAAGTGGGAGATTGTTGAGTGTGAATCCACGTCAAAGTGGTCCACAGAAAAGTTAGTCAAAAAAGAAAAAGGAATGGTCACCCAGTTCTTAAGGACCATGTTTTGTGGCTTTCCTTTTCTCCATTCAATCCTATATAAGATTGTATTGTATCTGTAGTTTCATAACACACAAAAAAGAAGAAGAAATAAAAACTCCTAGTTACCCTCGTGTGGACGTAGGTCAGAAATAGACTGAACCACCTTAAATCCTTGTGTTCTTG